TGCAATCAGCTGCCCCATATGCCAGATGCACATCAGCGAGCTCAGCAGTCATGCAGCATTCTGTCCTACTACCATTCAGTCGGCAGCGGAAATGAAGCGTCATGGTGTGCTCGCCAGCAACAACAGCATGTATGTATGTACCATTATCTGATACTTCGGTTTACATAGCGACATCTATCCCATACACCAACCAAAGGCTTCCCAGCATTATTACTGTACTCCGAATAACAAACATGTTTTCTCACCCCATTCGTGTCCTTTCATTCTTGATTTTTGTGTCGGCACTACTGTGCCGGGAAAGTGTTTCCGACCATGCATTGCTATGTGATTTCCCATCGCCTAGATGTACACTATCTCTCCTGAAAGTGTGTCACCACTGTACCAATACACCTTACATAAGAGAGAGAGAAATTTATAGTTTTAATGCAAACTATTTTGGTTACTTCTGATATAACTGATACTGATATAAAAAAGCAAGTTTTAAAATTTTTAAGGTTGTTCTTTTTATTTTAAAACAGCTGATAGAAAGAATGTATTTAAAAAACATTTTCTTGCTAAAGAAGTGTTAAAAAACAAAGTTTCTGAAAAAAAAAAAAAACCTTTAGAAAGAGAAAAGAATGTATACTATAAAATGGTTGATTTAAAGATTAGAAAAAACTGAATCGAAAATATCAAAATAAATTAGGATTTGCAAATCATTAGTATGGATAGAAATTAATGGAAACACCTTCAATATTCATAAGATTTGACACACTGAAATCCACAGAATTAACTGGTGAAGCTGTGAAGAGAAAGCATGAGGCGATATAAATCTAATTAACTTTAAAATAGTGCTTCAATTGTAGGGATATGATGAGAACAATAAGTTAAAAAATTGTATCTGACAGCCAGTCATATTTAAATTAGAGTTAACGAACATATGATATTCCACTGAAGTTCAAATAAGTCTTTCTTAAAATAAAAACTCATTTGACTAATAAAAGATAAGTGAATTTTAAAGTCTTAAAGCCCCTCATGCTTTATGGTAATCAGTATCAAAATGATTACAATAAAGCATGAGGGGCTGTCATCTTTAGGAGAAATACTTTCATGGAGAATACCCAAAGGAACTGTCTCATGTTTAAGGTACACATGGAAAAAATTCAAAAATTGAATGCAGCCAGTCTGTTTGTCATGAATCATACTAGGACTGGCCAACAGTTTTACCTATTCGGACTCTTATGAGCATGAATTTTAGCGAAAACACTTGAAATAATTTCAAAGTGACTTATTCCTTCCTGTTTTACAAGACTTATGTCTTGCAAATGGTATCATGGTAAAGTAAGACTTTAAAAATAGGGTGTTCTTAATAGGATTATTAAACTTCTTCTACGGGTGAGAAAATCAGAAGGAATAAATTGACTTTTTATTTATTTTATAATAATATTGCTATGTAATAAACAATTTAAATATTTCCACTGTATGTATAAATGAAGAAAAAAGTAAAACAAGATATTGTGCAAATTGGGGATGTTTAAAACACTGAAATATTCCTCAAAGCTAATATTTAAATTAACAAATTTTTAAAAAAAATTATTTATCAAACATGCAAATTGTGATGATCATTTTCTAATTGGGCCAAAATGATTGAGTGAAAAAGTATTTAGAATTTTCTGATTTCTCTGAAAATGAGCAGAAAAGTACTCATGAGGCAAAGCAATCTGTTGCCAAAATAGTTTTCTGGTAACTCAATGATGTCACCTAAAAGTACTTATATGGCAACCCTGGTATGTATATAGTACATGTCTGTTTTGATCGATGCACAACACAGAAGTTGTACAGAGCTGAGTTTGTGCAGTTCTCTGATCTTCTTTTAAGCAAAAACAGATGGGTACCTAGGTGGAATTATAGTGGAAAAAAAAGGATTTCTCAAACATGTTCCACTAAATTTTCTATTGCACACTGACAATGTTAAGTCCGAATTATATTAGTTTAGTTATTTATTATATTTATGTCTATTTCCTGCTTATGCTTAAGGTTTATATGAGTCTCCAAATAAATATATTCCCACAGATACTTAAGATTTATCCAGGGCCAGTGCTAGACATTTCTGCAGATCCAACATTCTGCTGCCAAGTGCCTCCCTAGATTTTAAAAATTTTGCCACTTTGAATTTTGCATCCCAGTGCCTTCTGTAAATTCTGAAGTTTTTGCCATCCTTAATTTTATTGCTTGGCACATCTCTAAATTCTAAAAATTTTACCATACCAGTGCTGGCACTAGTCCTGGGCTTGACTGAATAATAAATAAGTTATTCTTAATTCAAACAGTACTAAATATAATGTTTTGTCTTGCAAGTATCATTTACAAAATCTATTTTTTGCATATGGAAGTAAATTTCTTCTTGTTAAAACACTCAACACTTCATAGCAGAGTTAGCTGTAATCATTGTCAAGTGTAATGTTAACATAAAAGGTTACCATTCTCTTTGATATTTAGTTACTTATGTTAAAAATTAAAGAAAGAAAAAAGAAAAGGATTTTTTAGACATCACTGTGTGAGTCATTTCTCAGGCAGCAGCCATGCACTGATGGAAGGAAAAAGTAGTAAATAAAGATTTGCCAGGTTGTCATCAGTGCCAAAAATGAAATTAAGAATCAGGGCTTCCTACGTGTTTTATTATGAAAAATATCAAAAATTATGAAATATTACGAAAAAGGTTGCTGATGATCTGAAGGTCCTGATTTTAGATCATCCCCGATATTGGACATTTTACTTTAGACTGTATTATGAAAAAAATTATTGCAAACATACAAATAAAACTGGTTAAATTATACAAAAAATCAAAATATTAAATTAAATTAGAAATATAAAAGTCTTGCATATAAATAAAATATGGACATAACAATATTGTTACAGTTTTTCTTTTCTTCCGACACTAGTTGTGACGTTATTTTCTTCCCTCACGTTCGTACGGGGTTCGTGTGGATTTGGAGGGAATAACAACGACACTACTTGATGAAGTATCGAAACACACTTTATTAGCCGGTATTAATCAGGACTTTTGACACTTTTTACAGTCGTCGAAGATCTACTGTAAACACGCTGGAACGATCAGTGACACAACCTTCACACTGTCAGGCAATAACAGTGGAGACAGCTTCCTGCAGAGTACCAGAGTACAGCTCCTGACTCTGCTTGGTCATTCTCGAAACTCTACGTACTCTCGAGACTCTCCATGCTACAACTCGCGATGCACTCAACGACACACGAACACAGCTCCCGACTCTTCGGTTCAGTCGTTCCCGGAGCTCAACACGTTCTCTCGACAATGCACTCACCTCCATACACTAACAGACTCCCTCGGTGCTCTCGGCACTCGCTGCCCGGCTGTCAACTTGATCGACTCCGCACAGACTGACTCGCTAGACGAGACACACTCTCAATACTACTACTGACTGCGGACCAGCAGTGTTTATATAGTGTTCAGGAACATTCTGACCTAAACCGGTAAGAATTCGTTCCAGAAGGTTCTCCATCCGTCCATGATATATTGGCAATTTTCTTGCCAAATGGGTGATTTCTCACCAAATGTGGCAACCCTGCCTTGCCATTCTATGGCATTCCTAAAACTGCTTTGCGGGGAAGCTATCTCACCGTGCCTGTATACAAAAGTCGTTAATTTAAACTGATTATCGATTTTTACAGATTATAGATCATCAGTTTAAATCTCATAAGATGGCATGCAGAAATTCTAAAATTAAAAATATGAAACCGTAATTTATGAAATAAAGAACAATTATGATCTAAAGGGTATCAAAATTTACAAAAAAAAAAAAAAAAAAGCTTAATATTTATTTGTTTACTTTATTAAACATTTCTTTCAATGTAAGTTGTTTAAGTTGCTTCGTTTATGTGATAATACTTTCTCTTTAATTCTATAAACAGACATAATTTCTTGTTCAGTTACAAAGTTTCCGCTGTTCAAGTCCCGTTAATTGCTGTGCGAGAGAATACCGACTAACTTGTCAATCGAAATTTTTTCGTTTTCACTAACCTCTCTGTCACATTCTTCATGTCTTTATCCATTTTTTGCAGCAATTCCACTTTTTGTTTGTTGGACATCGAAACATACTTTCGTTTTGTAGATCCTTTGGAAGTTCCAGCATCGGAAATTCTATTTGACATAATCGTAAGTTCAAGTTTGCTTTTATAAAATTGCTCTTACAGTGTGCAAAAAATAATAAGCAAGATCCAATTCGAAGATTAAGAAACAACGCAATCATTAACATTAACTGAAATAGATAATTTTAGCTTACACCGTCCGTTATACATTAAACGCGCAGGCGAAAACGTATTCTGCACTTGCGCACATGCATATGCATAGTAGTCAAGGTCTTACGCGCACACGTAAAACACCTGTGCGCATGTGCCAACGCGGTGCATGCGCAGAAAGTTTTTAGCTTTGAGGTCCGGATTATGGGTGTCCGAATTAACGACTTTTGACTGTATTTCATAACAATATTTAATATGAATTGTGTTAAAAAAATAATTTTCTTCCATTTTGCGATTAGGTAAAGAACTCTTTTCACCCTGTTTTAAAAACTCCTTATTTCCTCCTTTAAACTTCCTATGGTAAAAGTATAGTTTAGAGTACCCCTTGAAGAAACTTGGCAATTTTGGGGGTAAGGAACCAATTTGTGCAATTCTTTGACTCATTATTTTGGCTTGCGAAGGGATGATTTTTGCGCCAAAAATCGCCGTTACACAAAGCCAAAATAACAAGACAAACAGTTGTACTCACTCGGTTTCCATGTACACATTGACTTATTATTACTTTAAAAAAAAATCCTCAAATTGCACAAAAATGGCATTGCGCACTCTTTTGACTTTATCCATGTACACATCGACCTATTTTCACTATATTATATTACTCGATATAATATTTAATTAGATCAGTTCTTTCTTTTTAAATTTGCCTTATATTTATATGGTTTATAATTTTCCAAATTATTTTGTAGAAAGGAACAGCTGTGGCTTGCAATGATGCCAAGAGCTGTATGGACTGGAATTTCAACTTTCAAGAATTTTATGAAATTCTTTGTAGATTTGTAAGTAGCGAAACTTTGAGAATATTAATATCTTGAAAATTTTTTTATATAAATTTATCATTCATGCTATATCAATTAGAAATTAATATCCACACACTATTTACATATAGCATTAATTATACATACAAGATGCACTCATAAATAACAAGACGAGTTCTTATAAATAAGAAAGAATTACTAACTTTCATGTAAATTTACTTCGTTGAAAAAATTGTCCGAGGGAGTCTGTGTAATTGGTACTTACATACTTTTTCAGTAGAAGTAGCCAAATTTTTAGAAAGTGCCAAACTCTGGCAACCATGCACATAACATTTCTTCTGGCAATCATGCGCATAACCATTCTTTCAGCTGCCATGATCATAACCCTTCTTCTGGCAACCATGCTCATAACAATCGTTTCATTTTAGTAATGTATATTTTTGTATGTGTTCTATTTGTTGTATTCCAAGCTCCAACGAGTTTTAATACACAGTGATATTTTTTGCCTTAAACATTGTTTTAAAATATGACCTTGTGCAGTTTAGAAGCAGTGGCAGAAAGTACAATAAAAGGCTTTAGTGTGAAATTGTTGATTGACGACAAATTTTGTTCAATTTTGGTGATGAAACCCCATATCTGGTTACCATGATAATTTTATCTTGTTTTTAGCTTCCTGATTTTTTTTAAAGTGAAAATAGGTCGATGTGTACATGGACAAAGTCAAAGCGCAATGCCGAGTTTGTGCTATGTGATTTTTTTTAAATGAAAATAGATCTATGCACCAAGTTTGTGCAATTCTTTGACTTCGTATTTTTGTTTTGTCTTGCGACCATCTTGAAATGTGCCTTCCTGGCACCAATGTTGGCATCAAAAAAAGAATCTCCAAAAAACCAAAGGGCACCCAATTGTAAACTTTTACCCAGTAAAATTTTGGCAGTAATTTGGCAAATATTTTTTGAAAATATTCTAAAGCAAGCAATGAGGAAATGCATTTTCCAGATAGCTGCCCTTGTGAAGATTGCACGAAGTTACACTCTACAATTCTATGATATTTTTGAAGTGAAAACAGGTTGCTGTGTACTGGAAAAAAAAAAAAAATGTTGAGAAATTCAGAGAAAGATGCAAGTGATATTCTTTTTAATGTATGATATAATTCATATTTGTATTTTAAGTTGCCAAAGTATGATTTCTTTTCCTATGTTGATGTTGTTTACCAAGCTTACTATAAATATCGATAGTTTGGGAACCTTTCTAAAAAAGAAGGCACAAAAACCACCAACTTGCACATCCTAAGTTACTTTTATATTTTTATCTGGAAAAAAAGTGGCCATATTGCGCCAAGATGGTTGCAATGGTATGTAAGTACCGTATAATTTTTCCAACATTTCTTCAAGTCATCAAAACAATGTTCACTAAATATGCATAACATTTGGTTTAATATTCAATATGTTTTCAAATCTCTGTCCTTTTATAGCCATCTTAAGCTTTGGAAGAAAAAGCTTGCAATAATTTTGAAGAATATGGTAGATGGTTTATCACTGCACTGCTAAGGCCTGCTTGACTACGAATTCCCATTAACTGTGCTTTGCATAGCACTCAACAGTGAACATGCATTTAGAATATATTCTCATGAAAATCCATCTTAAACTGGACCAGAAAACAGTTTTCCTGGCCAGTTTTACTTCAGTCAGTCTGTATAAAGCATGAATTGTCTATACATGCATAGATATTGAATAGATGATTTATGATATATATAGATAGGTATTGGAAAGGATGTGATAAAACACATTTGTAGAATAATGCAGTTTATGCATCCCATTTGAACTAGCAGTCAACTTTGTGAATTGATAACCAATTTATTGAAATAAAAAAACCATTTGAATCGATACTTTATGATAGGCAATAAGAAATGAACAGAAAAATAGACTAGTCAAAATAAAATAAGAAGAAGATAGTAAAAAGTTTTTTAATCATTTAAGGTAATTGTGATAAATATTGCACCTCAAAAATATGTACAAGGTATAACATTTTTTTACTCGTATTTTCCTTCTTCAGGAGCTTCCCCCAATAGAATTTTTGTGGAATCTTCATGTTTTTCAAGTTATGTCTTTTGAAGTTTATCTTTCGTTGTAAGTACTAAGTTTTAATTATATTAACTCTTTATTCATAAAGTTAATTTTTTAGAGATATTTTTAAAGTTTGAGGGGAAAATCTCCTAACGATCTGACTAGATGATCTAGATAATGATCTGATTGAAAAATGAAAAGACAGTGACATTTATTTTATTACCAATGATAAAAACCTTTGATTTAGAGTTTAATATAAAAGGAATTAATATATTTTGTTTTGTAAAAATATGTGTAAATTGTAAATATTAATTTTTTAGTTTAATTTCTTTTTGAATTATTTATCCAATCACTGAAAAATTATTCTAACATCTTTTCAAAAATTAAAAATATCTTATGAAATAATCCTTTTAGCTGAAATTTCTTTTTATACAAAAATGTTTGATTTTTTTAAATTTATCTACATACAAATTATAGATATCTTAAGTTAATTTATTATTTTATAGTCTCGGTACTCAGCCAAAACAGTTTGCAAAATTTAGAGAAAATATTTTAGGGCTTTGTTTTTTAGAAGATGGAAAAGAAGAATATTCTTCTTTTGTGCAATCAGGTAATTTGCTGTATTTCTTCTGTATTCTTCTGAATTTATGTAATTACTTCTTTTGGTTGCTTTTGAGCCATCAGTATATATGGAAACGTAATCACTGTATTTATGTAATTACTTCTTTTGAATTTTTTATTATTATTTTCTGTGAATATTTTAAAAATTTAAAGCTTCAGTTAACTCTGGATTATTAGAGTCAATGTCCACAGTTAATCTGAGGGTAGTTAAAAGCTACTGGTGTAATAGAAAGAGTGTTTTTCAAGAGTGTCTGATAAATTATTCTTCGCAGACTAAAAAATATTTTGCTTAATTATTTTTAAGAATATTTTCTTGGGTCATCAAAATATTTTTGCTCCTTGAAGACTGATGGTGGATTTTTTGGCACATAACCCTGAAAGGTTATATGTGCCAGACAAATGTCAAATATTGTAATGCACTTATATAACCATGTGAGCTGGTAAAAATGATAGGTGCTGTGAAGAAAAAGTGTATGAAACTCGGATGATTTCAGATGGGAAACAAGGATAATCAAAACACACGAAATACGTTAAAATACCAAGGAATATCTTCAAAATTATATCTAATTATATAATAAAGACCTGTCTCTTTCAGGTACTGAAATAAATTAGAATTAACCTCTTTTCACATTATTTGGTCAAGAGGTAAGTCACTATCTCTAAAATGTTTGTTGGATTAGTACGCTCAGTTAAAGATTAAGTAAGATCTGTTAAGATTACGACACTCAGTTAAAATGCGACAAACTGATAAAACAACATTACAATTGGGAAAAATAGGTTCACTTTCACCTTTTAAAAGATGATTATGGGTAACTCAACAGTGACTAATTCTAACCGAGTTAAAATTACTTCCTCCTCCAGTTTCCAGTAGCCTTTTAATATTCTACTTTATGCTTCATGCTTTGCAGCTTGTTACTTACCTGAACATTCCACAGTTGCTGCCATTTATTTATGATTTTGCTGTTGATGATCATGTTGATATCTCTGATTGAAGCAAACCAAGGGGAGAAATGTACAGCAGATTTCTCTATAATGTCTGCCCATCTGGTTTACCTTAATACCTGTATATCCATCCAGGAAGCGAACAATAGAGAATCTGATATCCACGAACAGCTAAATTCAAATGCAATTTTTAAGTTTCAATTGTTACAAAATTCCAGATTTCTAGAGTAGGCACTATTAACCAAGGAGGAATTTCGTAATTTCAAGGGAGGGAGGAATGTTGTCAACCTTTTTATTTATCTACGAAGTGCAGTAAATCCGGACATCCATTATCCGGAATGATCTATAATCTGGACCTCAAAGCCACAAATTTTTTTTATATGCATGTACGCATGCATATAAAAAACGCATGCTTTTGTATGCATGCGCGTAATGCTTTTATGCATACGCGTTTAATATTTATGCATGTGCGTTTAGCACAAAAAACGAAGCAACTTAAACAACTTACATTGAAATTAATGTTTAATAAAGTAAACAAATAAACATTAGCTTTTTTTTTTTTTTTTTTTTTGTAAATTTTGATATGTCTTTAGATATAATTGCTCTTATTTCATAAATTACGGTTTCATATTTTAATTGTTAATTTCTGCATGCCATCTTACCAGATTAAATTCATGATCTATAATCCGGAAAAAACCCTAATCCGGAATCGCCGAAGTCCAGATGAGTATGGATTACGGACTTTGTGCTGTATTTAGTTTTAGTTTATGAATATAAAAAACTACTTTTATTCAAGCTTATGTATTTGTAAATACTTTTTCTTGTTTAATTTTAAAACTAAAAAATAATATAAATTTAAATAAATGCATATGCATTTTTCAAATTTTAGAAAAGAGGGAAGGGGGAATGATGACTTAGCAGTAATGAACGTGATGCATGGGGCAAAAAAGTTTGAGAACCCCTGTTTTTCAACTCAGACTATATGGGTGAGGATAAATAAGAAACGTTTTCTGGGATGTACTTGATACATGTGAAATGGCAATTGACTTCAACGTGAGCACTGAGAAAGTGTCATGCCTGTTTTCCCTCTTTATGGTTTCTTATTACAAAAGGTGCTCCAGCATAATTGGTTGCTTTTGAGCCATCAGTATATATGGAAACGTAATCACTGTATTTATGTTGTCTAAGCATCTATAAAATGCTTATGAAAAAGCATTTTATAGATGATGTCACTTGTACTGCTTTTATTCAAATGATGGAAAACCTCAAATTGGATTTGTACATTTTCCCAAAGTGTGATTTCAAAATGCTTTACTGTATAGGCATTCATGTCAGTTAGGATACATTCTTCAATCATTGGCCAGACTTTTAAAAGGAAAACACTAAATGATTGTGCTTCAAACAAGTCATCATACAGAGTGGTGTTACTAGGGTGTCCCAGTTGTGATAATATATTTAAATAATGACTGGTGATGGAGGGCAGGGACACCTCATGTCTAACATAGGTAAGCAGGTGTATGTCCCTCGTTCTTTCCAATCCAGAACAACAGCTTCCAAGGACAGCAAGAGAGCTGCCTCCGGAGTTTATATATTTTAAGCACAAGATCTTGCATAGCTATTGTTTTTTACATTGGTAATAGTAGCTTGGTAATACTACAGAGGGGCATCCTTTGCACTCACAACTGCTCTCACCTTAACTGGAGAGATAGTTCAAAAGACTAAAAGTACAGACCATGAACAGGAGAAATCCTAAATGCCTGGCACATACCTGGAGAGCCTGATGGTGAAAAGGATCTAGTTTCGATAACACATAATTATGGCTTGCTGAGCCATAATTAATGCTGAGTGTATTCAGAATTTGCTCCTTGAAGGAAGATCTATGTCATTCTCCCTGAAAATGAATAGCATTTCTCAGTATAAAAAGCATCAGTTTGAAGTTTAATTTTGCCTATCTATATATTGGTTTGATTCTTTTTTATATTTTACATATCTATTAATTTTCTTAATATTTCATAAATGTGAGCATGTTATATATTTCAAATTTTCAGTTTGGTTTTACTTTTAAATATAGGTGTACTTTCTTATATTGTAAGAAAAGCCTACCCAGCTGGACAAATAGATGATGCAAGAGATAAATTGAAAAAAGTAAGTTCTTCCACCCTTCTACAAGCATTATTTTTGTTTCAATAATATCAACTGCAGAATAAATAAAAAAGGCATTTGTCTTATAATATTATAGATTTTAATACTTTTCACAGTACACACAGTTATGATTTGTCTAGTCGAAGTCATTGGGATAGTTTTTAGAAATGGGAGTTTAGGGTTGTGACATTTATTCAGAATTTTGTAGTAGGACATTATCAGATGCAATATTGGAAGAGAAGTTAGTTCATAAGATTTTGAGCCTATTAAACCTACTGAAGTTCACTGTGGGTAAAATAATTATTAAATGAAAAAGGAATGAAACAATAACTATAAAGCAGCTATTTGTAGCCTTCATAAATTCATGCATTAAGATAGCCAATATTGCAGAGACCAGTAATCTGAAAAAATCAGTTTGTTTCCACGGGCAAAAAATGGATAGAGTAACTTTACCAGGCATTAAGATATATCATAACATGACTCTTTGAGCCAAGTTAAAATATATTATTATCATGGAAAAGATCTTGCCTATAAGCCAGATAATACAATCAGTTCTGGAGATTACTGGGGTACTAAGTTCATCAGAATTGAAATATTGACCAGTAGAAATATATTGTGCAGAGGAATACTGCATTATGAAGAACTGGTATTATGAGAAGTATTATAATAGTGTCCTTGCTGTTGCTGGTTACCTCACAGTTATGCTGTGTATGTAAATTTCGTAAGTTACATTGTGTAGCTAAGCTGCAGCCATCTAACAAATTGAGCCTTGCTACACTTGACACATACGGATGCAGACTATGCGTGTAATCTGTAGGTACAACTGTAGTCTTCATGTTCCTAACAGCTGCAACACCCTAACTATTTCCAAATACATTTCACAGGATTTGAAGAAGACGAAAGGATGTGTATAGAAGAATTTGATCATCTTTCTGAAAAGTACAGTGATCAATCAGTTCTGATCGTACAATATTATTCATAAAAAGTTTAGACATAATGATCAGATAATGTTATATTTACAGTGAAATCCAAAAAAGTTCCAACTTTAATCCAATTGATCACCTGCACATTAACTTATAACAGTCATTATATGCTGGCCTGTAGATATCTGTAATCGGAAGCTGCCATATCAGCTGCTGTAAAGAATGGCACCAAACTCCAGCTATAATATTCTAAATAGTAAAATTTTCAAATTCCAGCTTAATATTCTAAATGTGTAAAGTTTTACTTGCCAAGTATGATAGCAAAGAGTGGACAGATGTTCTTTCATGTATATAAAACATTGATTAAATGTCGTACTTTATCAAGCATCTTAATACTTCTAAGAATATGGTGTGTGATCCAAACAATATTTTAATCCAGTAAAAATTAAAATTATCCTAAATTTATAAAATTGATTTTATTTAAATAAACCACTCTGTGTTACTCAAAGAATAGTTCTAAACAAAAACATAGACAGTATTTTTATTAAAACAAATTTTCAGTATTGTACTTGAAAAAATAAAATATAAACACAGCTGAATGCTTATGAGTTTTTGATGAACAAGTGGATTCAAGAAGCGGTTTTTATTTGGCATATTAATCTTGGATACTGAGACAACAGTTCAACAATAAAGTAACCTGTAAACTTCTTTTCTTTAGAGTCTTTTGGCTAGCTTATAATCAAGGGGAAAAAATGCCTTCTGCACTTTGATATCTCAACAATAAAGTAACCTGTAAACTTCTTTTCTTGAGAACTCTTTTGGCTAGCTTGTAATCAAATGGGGAAATGCCTTCTGCACTTTGATATCCTATGCAATGCATTCCTAGGCAAAGCACCATCTCTTTGTGGGTCCTCTTCTTTTACCTAAACATTTCAAAAATCACAGGGAGATAAATCAGGATTGTCCAGAGTTTGAAATATCATATTTTAATCACTACTTTTTACTTCTCTTTGGAATTCGTTGCACCAGTTAAACCCTGACATATGTCACAAAACTTCATCCTTGTATACCACATTTAATAGACAAACTATCTCTTCTTGCTGTACACTTTCAGCAGACATCTGGATCACAATGAAATTCATCGCAGTGTTCATTTATGTTTAGTCAGGTGTTTGAAGTCATGAATGCAGGTTCCTGGGCAGCATTCTACAGTGTGTTGCATATATGAAAAGATTTTTTGAAGATATCTTTGATAAATGTGGCTTTGGCATGAAGTTGAAAACATAGATAAAATAGCAATAATTGGGAGACTCAAATTACATTGGGTGAAGTAATCTCTTTTGAATGTAAAAGTCTTTGTTAGCATAGAGAAGATCATAAGTTGTGAAGAAGATAAGCAATTATATCTAATTGATGCAAAATCATTTCAGTGTAAAGTCTTTTTGAGAGCCAAGTGAGAGAGCAACTTTCATGGAGGTTGAGCTGTTTGTTAGAATATCAAG